TCATAGCGGTTTGACAAGGTGAAAGGGCAACTCGACGCGCTCGTTTCGCGGATGAATCGATAATTTTAATTAAATCGTTCTTCGCCGACGAAACCAAAAGGAAAGACATTTGAAACGTTGTTCCCGCGCTGGTCAGCCGCTAGAGGGCACACGCTCAATGATTGACAGTGTACTCTGGGAGGCGACTGATAAATTATGCAGCCGGTTGTTTTTTTCCCGGGATTCCATAACTCCCGTGGTACAAGGTAAACACGGACCGCCTCGTCAACGTGCTTGGACAATTCCGGAAACATGACGACAACATCTAAACGCGCACGGCTGAATTAATGCGCGGATGCACCCGCGAAACTTTTTCGACGCAGTTCTCCGTTCATCGGGAAATTCGAACAGTTCTGGTCTTTACGCTGAAAGCGCCAGCCATTTTGTCGGAAACCTTTGTCTTAGAGTACCACAATATTTACGAGTTTTGTAGAAACGTGCAGTTTTACGAAATAAAATGAAATAGCTCTTGTGGAACACGAAATTTCTATTGAAACATTTCACATGGTCTTCGTGACAAGTTTAACTTGCTAAATTTGTGGATGAAATAATTATTCACGTCTAATGCTAAAACTACCGAACAATTGGAACGACTTATTTATAATTTTTTATGAAAATTAAAACAATACATTTGTTGCGTTCCGAAGGGTCTCTTATTCCTGTATCTGAACAAATATACACATCTATTTCGTGATATCTCGCAAACGCGCCTTCGTTATGTAAATACTTGCAAAATAGGAGTTCTGAGATGGATCAATCTAAACTGTCTGATGGGTTTTGTGTTAAGTATAAAAATTGCAAATAAATTGAATCACGATGGTTCAATGTTTATCAAGGATAGAGTTTTTATCGTCTTCAAAGTACATCACCAATACTTTTTTTCAAATTAGTATCGCAATGGAATGTATAAAAGGTATACGGTAATATATTCATTGATAACGGTAATACATTCGTCATTAAATAGTTACCATTCGGTTCTATTTCTAACAACACGACATTCGACTTCATTCTAATACTTATATTCCGCCAACTTTTAAATAGAAAAATACTGTATTAAATTACAGCTGAATTAAGTAACGTTGAAATATACTTTAAAAAATTAATGTAGCGATATATAAAATTAACAGCTTCATTGAATTATATTGATGGAATATTTAGAGTAACGGACACTGTTGATGCATAATTGACCATTTTTGATTAATTATTCGCAACATCATAATCATACCGCATGCAAGTTCACTTTTAGCTTTCCGAATGTCTCAAACAAGTCAGTCAAGTGCCATATTAATTCAATCGTTAATTTCAACAACATTGACAAAAGATCCAAACTGGCAATCCTTTACAATTGCATCAACATGTTTTCCCAATTTCTAATGAATTATTCGCGACATCATGATCATACCGCATGCAAGTTCACTTTCAGCTTTCCAAATGTCTCAAACAAGTCAGTCAAGTGCCATATTAATTCAATCGTTAATTTCAGCAACATCGACAAAAGATCCAAACTGGCAATCCTTTACAATTGCATCAACATATTTTCCCAATTTCTAATGAATTATTCGCGACATCATAATCATACCGCATGCAAGTTCACTTTTAGCTTCTCGAATGTCAGTGAAGTGCCGTGTTAAACCAGAGTCGAATTAAGTCAGAGAGGCAGAGGGGAGAGGGAAAGAAGCGAAAGAAAGTGGCGGGGGTGTGCAGCGAGCAGTTCGCCGCGGCCAAGTCTGTGATAAGCGGCGGTACGCGTGCGCGCGAAATATAGACCCGCGTTCCGACAGTCGGACCGCGGCTACGGAGGTGTATGCGCGGTTCTATGTGTGTCATGATTATTGCCCATTAAATTATCTCGCGCACGTTGCGCGCCTTCCAGCGCGGCTCGCTCCTGACACACGCCGAGCGCGCGAATGCACGCGCGCATACCTCTATACACCCGCGAGATATTATACATTTATGCAGGCGGACGGATTTATATCTATACACACGTATACTCTGCCGTTTCTACGATGATAATATATAATTTTATGCATCCAGTCGCTGGAAAGTCGCGGGACTCGTAAAAAAAATAATGAATAATTAAATTTGGGATTTATATTAATACTTCTCGTTCTCCTTGCGAAACCTCCTACAACTCTAATCTTCACAATGTTTCTATAGAAACAAAGCAAGGCATTTTTTTTTAAAAAGTTTCAAATAGACTCTGGCGAGATACTGGGACTTTACTTTATTCACGACTTGTGGAGATTCTCGAGGAAAATTTGAAATGAGAAATGAGAAATGAGAAATGAGAAAATATGAAATCTGAAATGAGAAATTTGAAATAAAAGATTTGAAATTTTAAGCTTGATCCTTGAAAATTTAATATAACAATCAAATACTTCACAAAATTGTAACACTGCGTAACAAGGTCTAGTCATATATTCACACAAAACAGAAAACCATCGTTCCTACTTAAACATTCCGCTTATGTAATCGAAGTTTCTCAAAATGGCCGAGCAGTCCCACAACTTTTGAGCGGGGGTGTACGCATGTGTGCATCCGTGGACGATGCGTGCACGCCGTGGATCCGCGTAGAAACGTTTATTCGCAGCCAGACCAGGCTCTCTATCCGTGTATCCCTCTCTCGGCCGACAACAGCTCCGCAGAAGCACGTCAATAACCCGTTGCCGCCTCGACGTGCTGCATATAGCGCGTTTATAGCGCTGCCGAGGGGCCGCACATGTGATCCGCTAGCGCTGCGCACCCAGCTCTGCACACACTTACCCCGGTGCCGTTTTTTTCTCTCTGTTTTTTATGAAACGAGTTTCGTTTCGGGGGCTTTCACCTGTTTCCGCAGCGGCCGCCGATCCTCCGCCGCAAAGGGGACGCGCGCTTACGTTTTCCTCCCTACTGGATCCTACGCCCTACACCCCCCGATCACCCTCTAACTGTGTCCACTTAGTTCCTCCATCCTCCCATTCGTCCTTCTTCTCTTTTGCTTTGCCAAATATTGCTGGGAACTGCGAGTCGTTTAAATAATAATGAAGAGAGGAATGCTGTTAAGGGTGAAACGTGTGGTCATCGGAGTAGCACTTGTTTTTGCGAAGTACCATTGGAAAGTTTGAGTACTGCGAATATGTAACTTGTTTGATATAGAATGTTACAAATTGTTTCATTATTGCTTGTGATTTGGAGTTATTTAGTAACTGATTTTACTTTAGCTACGTTACCCCTCAACCCTTAAAGCAGCTATCTCACATATTCCTTCATTGATAATATGTCACGTTTTAAGTACAGAATATCTCAAGTAAACGAATCATCGCAGATAGACGAAGTACTGTCCAACAACTGTTTTTACTTTAGCTACATTACTTCTCAACCCTGCAAGCACCTATATTTCACATCTTCCTTCACCGAGTATATTCCCCGTCTGAAGCATAGAATGTTTCAACTGTTCCAATCGATTCGTTGCAAATCGCGAAAGTGAAAGAACCACGCTACGCCCAGTCCAACCGAAAAATCAACTGGCTAAATGATGTCAATTAAATCGCGCACGTCGAAACGTGCAACGCGGCCATACAGATCTACGAAACGTTAGAGATCGTGACGCGGTTCGGGGAACGCGAAGCAAAAGTCCGCGGCCGCCGGGGACGTGGCGCACGAGAAAAACAAAGAGGAAAATAGGTTCCGACAAACGGAAATCGCTAACACGGCGAATTATTGAACCGTGGCGCGCGGGACACGCGTTCCACGTGAACGTGAGCGTGGCCACGCGAGACCGGAGAGCGAGCGTGTATCGACGTCGACCGGACAGGAGCGAGAAAAATAGAGGAACAATGCCCGGGCGGAAAACGCATTTGAAAGTCGCCCGAGCGTGCGGACGTGCATGCGAAATGTGCTCCCGGCTCTCCGTGCTCCGAGACCGATCACGTACACACACAGAAGCACGCACGCAACGCACGCACGCATCGGCCAATGGAACTTGGTAAAAACGGTTGATCGGGAACGATCGTAAATTCAACGGTGCTGGGCGAACGCGTTCCGTGGCCACTGCGTGACAAAAATGTAATTGGACAGCGTCCCGTTGTTCACCCGCAAGAACCGTACCGACAGATCTCGGAGAGACCCGTGAATGTAAAGGATACGCGCGTTGAAAAATTCGGCAATGCGACCGATTGGTTTCAGAATTTTTTATATGTCGTGAAATCTTGGAAGGCAACCCTTTTGCCGTTGACGTTCAGACGTTCGACTGTTTCGTCAACCGAACGGTTCCTCTTTCAGCTTACTGTTTCTAAATTTAGGTGAATATTATAAATGTATAAATTTTGATTTTTTATGGTTTATATTTATTTATTACCGATTGTATCGGGACCGACCGATAAATGTTAAACCTATCGGTAAACCTGTATTACTGTATATACTGCAACGTCCAAGGTGGTGTTAACCCATTTTGGTATATTTTATTAGCGGTACTTTCATTAACGCGAGCGTGTTCACATTGTACTCGAGTAAATAAAGATATTTATTAAATGTTTAGCAACGTTTTCGAGAAGCTTAAATACATTATTCTTTAAAGATGTTTCTAATAAGAAAAGATTTTCTGGAAATTGAAGAGAAAATTGCTTGTACAACGAAATAGGTTAAGCGGTCACTTTCGAATGCACAGTTGGCTACTCACGGTTCGAGGAGAAAAGTAAAATAGGACTTTGTATGTATTCTACTGTGATCGTTTCATTGTCATCTCTGCGGGTTTTAAGATCTTGAGGAAACATAAAGATTGGAAGGGAATCTCCTAAAACGAGTTCGAGATCTGTGAATATAAGCATTTTGGAATGCGAAATTGGTTTAAGGTGGAAAACGAAATGAGACGAGTTTGTTGCCACTGTGATCTTCCCATTTCTGTTCGGTTACATAGCCTCGTTCAGAACCGACTTTGCTGTCCGTGTTGATAGAGATCAGAAAAATTGATCGTCTCGAATTACCTGCGACATTATGTTGGTGATGATTATACGTAAGAGGAACGGAGTGTAATGCCCTGGCGGACCATTTTCTATGTCTGGAGTCCTCGTCATCGTCGTCGGCTTGCTGTCCATCCTCTCCCAGAAAGTGTACTTTCTCGTACCTGTCGAGATACCTGTAAAAATAGAGCATGTGGTCCATTAACTCTCGTGACATTCGATCATCGAAACTTTATATAATCTGACACCTGTTCAAACATAATTCAAATTCGAAATCATATTTAAAACTCCATATAAAGTAACATTTAAAACTGAAATAAATCATTTCAAACTAAATATAATGAAACGAGTCGCGAACAACGTTCGATTGTACTCGGTTATCTCTGTTACAAGTTTTTCGCCGGGCGAAAGACGAGAAACTTTTCGGTTGATAAGGGATCGGTGATCCCCCGACAATGATCCCCTCTGTTCCTGGATCCCGAAGAAATGGTAATCGGCCATGAAGACACTGCTGGGACGATGCCTTTGACCATGTTCAAACGAAGTATAGCGGGGTGAAAGCGATACGAGGGTGGAGGCTCATATTCTAAGGAGTACGAAACTCGAAACCCGTGTTTCGGCTACCGAACTAGCTGATCGATACCGGTTCGAGCGCGGAAAACGCTGCCCCCAAACGATTATTCTCTTCGTTTTATTGTTCCCCGATGCGAGCTTTCGGCTTGACTGCTCGCCCACGTGGTACAGAGCCGATAATAAAAAAGCGTGAGTTATCAAACCATTCAACGGGTAGGAGCATAGATAAGGACAGCTCTGTGTTGGTTTGGTGAATCCTTGATTCTTTGTCAAGCTTCAGTTCTGACTAATAACTTCGTTCAAACAAATTCGAGAATCTAAACCCTGGTGCTATGATTTTGTTGGGATTTATTAGAATAAAGTCTACGCTAAATATGAATGTTTCAAATGGGAATGAGATGAACCACTTAGATACATCCGACGAGTTAAACTCGCGATGCATCTCTCGCGCGAGAATGCAAAGGGATGCGAGAGGAATGTCTCGTTTTATTTTCATCTCGATGCATTAAGCATGCAGTGGAAAATAAAGTCAGGTTCACGGGAAAATTTATTTAAATTAATTCTACATCCAAAGGATTAAAAAGGAACCTAAGCGTACCCGATGCATAGCAGCATCTCGATGAAGATGGTACTTTAATCCTCATGCAACGAGCTTCAGGGTACATTTCAATCTTTCGTAGATTAGCTCTAATGATAATAACGACGAATGAACTTGTAAACGATCCAAATTCGTCTAATGGCTAACTGCAATTAACAACTACCCCCGTTGCCAGAGGAACACGGGAGAACAGACGGAAGACGTTCCGTTAGCAGCTAAGTGCTGCTAGGAGATCACTTAATGGCTAGGCTGACGATGATGGAGCTGATCGATCAGTTTTCATCTTGTCTCACCCAATTTTCCGTTAGCTTCATTTTCCTGATATTATCGATATAACGAATAATTATCAATAATTACACGTAACCAACCGAAACTATAGAACCATAAACTAGTACCGTTCCACTGGATCATCGAGACATCTCCCAACTGTAATTCCCGACAGTCAGCTACCAGCAGTACAGTGTCTACCCAAGAATATCAATACCTGCAGTGTCACCGTGATCGCGATCATCCGAGGAAATTAGTGATACGTCCGACACGTTTCTCACATGGTGCTGCCGAACTCGACCGCGAGAGACCAATAGATCGACCGACCGACCTACCGACCGACCGACCGACCGACTGAACGTCGAGAGAGTGCGACGAACCCGGGAGCAACGCGCGAATGGGGTAGCTGTTGACAGGGCGAGCGAGAGTCGGAGAACGAGAGAGAGAAAGAAAGAAAGAAAGGGAAAGAGAGGACTGCGTAAGGAATAGAGACAACGATAACGCGAGAAAGGCGAGAGAGAAAGAGGAGTAGGAAACAGGCACAAAGGGAGGGGGTAGTCGTGGCACGCAAGAAAGACAATAAGACAAGAACGATAACCATAAAATTAAGAAATAAAGAGAGAGATGTGCAAGGGAGAAGAGACTAACGAGACAGAGAAAGGAGAGGGACGTGGTCACGCAAGAGAGACAATAATAATATTACGACGAGGATGGACAGGGAGGGGGATG